CTCTTTTAAGACTAATTCACATTAGCTCCAGTGCATATCAGCGCTCATGCACACTTGTGCTAATGTGTATATGGATTCAGGTGAATGTGGGCCAATTTTCCCCTGCTCCCAGGGAAAACCGAGTCCACAAGCCTTTCCCATAAAGCTCTCAACGGCCCATTCTTGCTCATGGAAGTGCAGGGCTTTTAGCCTAGAGGCTTTCAGCCAGGAATGAGGAGCTGAATGACAACATACAGTCTCCCAGGTGTTCCAGGAAGCATTTGCGGCCAAAAGCCTCTCTGAGATACTGTGTGGGGCTTTTTAAGCAACAGCAACAAAGGAGAAAGTTCAAAAGAAGACCCATCACTCACTTCATGCACTTAAAATAGAGCCCCTGTTGCTTAAAATAGAGCCCGTTTGTATCCTCAAATAGAAGTTGCTCTGAAATTCTCCCCTTCCCCCACTTTTTTTGCTGTGATCTCCACATCACCTCTTCCCCACTCCCCAAAACTGCAGAAAATGACAGACTTGGAAATTTAGCACAACTCTACTGAATAGATTGTTTGAAGTAGTTTTTTGTAAGCTAAGAGCAACGCCCCAGCCTCCTACTTCTGCAATCCTGGCATTTGAACACCTGATATGAAGCCATCTTGCAAGTTCTAGCAAAAGCAATGCAGGCTGAAGGACGAGGCCTCGGGATAGGTTCAGTGCTCTTCATCTCTACTGTATGGACACCATCCAGCTACTCCACAAGAAAATTACCCCTCTTTCCTACCACACTCCCCAGTCCAAACTGCTGTTGCTGAGCCTGGACTGCAGTAGTGGGAAGTTCAACATTTGCTGAGATAAAAATTGGTGAGAAATTAGATGTATGAGAAACAATGTGGCCATGTGCCATTTTAGAGGTGACACTTCTTTCTCAGTAGGGCTCTGCATGCAAGCAAAACTTGAGTTTGTTGATATTCTCCAAATTCCACCACAAAGTTCATACTGTCACATGTCTGTATCTGATGGATCTGTCTGTATCTTTCATTTTTTTCCCTTTTTGCATGAAAAACTGCATTTTGCATGCATATTTCTTCAAATGTGTTCATCAGTTGTGCACAGCTTCAAAATATATGCATTTTTCTCCAGTTGATTAAAGTGCATTTGTGCCTATTCGTCAACTGTACACATGCTGTCAAATACATTTTTTTGTCCATGAATCACACTGCAAACTCAGAAAAAGTGTGGATTAGGACTGTGTTTGAGTTTGGGTTCAGTCCAGGAGGTGAGAACTGGAAAAATCCTGAACAAAAACAAACTGGAACAAATTTCTCATATATCCCCAGATGAAAGTGAGCTCTGTTGGATGAGTTATCTGATTCAAGTCCAGTTTAAAGATGAAGAACTATCAGAAGTAACAGCTGGGCCTTGAAGCTGTCCTTCAACAGCACCTAAATAGCATACTAAGCCAGAGACATTGGCCACCTGGTTACAGTTGGCTACGCTATGGTGAGATTTACTGGAAAGACTTTATATTATCTTTATATATCTCTTTATATCACCACCACCACCATGTATTTGCATCTACAGATGAAAATTAGCAAGTACAAATTTTATGAAAATTCATATCCTTTGTCCCCTTGTTTTTGGTGATATACTTTCTCATTTTTGGCAATGCATAGGTGACCGAGCTAATGAGAACTCCCTCTGAAAACTATTCTGACTAGGATTACTTCACTTTCTTCTGAACTTTCCAGGTTTTGTCCAGCAGAAACTGTCATATACATTTCAACTTTCTCTTCTAGCCAGCCAGCCAAGTATTTTTATGTTATGCTTTGCAGTGTGAAAATATTCAGTATGATAGCACCAAGGGTCAGGAGTGAACATAGCCAGCATAATGATTTCTCTGTGCAAAAAGTAGAGAGTCTTTATTCCTTCACTCCTTTAAAGTTTGAGATATAATTCCAGCAATCCAGACACCAAGCTGGGCATTTCAAGCAATGGTATATTTCATATAATTGATTCTGTTTAAAATCTTATCATTTATAAAGCCATACAAGGAACTGCAATGAGTCAAGATAGCTGTACAAAGGGAAATGGAAGCTTGGGTGTGCATGGGGGTGCATGGTTTGTTCTCACATGAACCATGAGTGACAGAGAGCTGTCAAACATGTGACGAACATTATGGGCACAAAGATACAAAATATAAAGAATTCCGTCTATATAAATACATATAAAGGGGTTAATTCTGGGGTTTTCCTCCTCTCTTCCTCCTCTTCATATATGCACAAGTGTGCATTCAATGCGTGAGTATTTAAGAACAAATTTGGAGGGATGCAAGAAGGAAAAGCAAAAGGTGGCTTCCAACAGTCATTAATACTTACAGTCTGTAACAAGAATGGCATTCACAAAACAGCAAATAAAAGGTTAACAGTTTGCAGTGTTAAAGTCTGTGTCTGCACTGTTTATATTGGCAAAATTGGTAGCAATCCTAATTATAATTTCTAGAGAGCAAATCCCATTGAGATCAATGGGATGCACTTCTTAGTTAAGTATAGTTAGTTAGCTTCAGGCATCTGAGTGGATTTTGAAAGTGGCTTCCTTCAAAGCAGTCCTAGCGATCTCCAGTGGAACCTGCTTCAGAAGACAAGCAGGTTCCACTGGAGTTTTCTGCTGCTTTTGTGAGAAGCAAGCATCTCATTCATCACTACTTGGAAGTAGCCACAGTTTTCATGGCACTTGCTTCCAAGGGGTTTGTGGAAGAGTGGAATACAAGCCTTTCTTCTGTGGAGCACAAGATTCCTGTGTCATTCCAGGGATCTGAAGACATCATCCTATACTTTCATGGCCACTGTGCAATGCTGTAAAATGCTTATACACACTGCTTTTTTCAACCTCAAAAGATTTTTCAGATCCATTGAATAGTATTGTGCAGTGACTGATATGGATGATGTCAGGTTACCGGAATATTGTTGGGTGGCAGGGTCTCTGTGTGCCCCTGGATTGCTGTTACTTAATTCTGCATAAGGGGGTGATGTCCAATGTCCGTGTTGGGGAACAGTTTAAAATGTTTCCCAAACTCAACAAAGAATGGAGTCACAGCTTTTTAAATAGATGGAAGTTTTACAATAGAAGGATATTCTAGGTTACATTGACTTGTAATGACAAAAAAATCCAAATGATCTTTGGAAAGCGATTACTCACAGAAAATGTAAACTCATTCAGTGATGGTTCCTTAATTTTTAACTGATCAACTCAGGTCCATTATCTCCCTTGCAAAATTACATGAACTGTTTGCTTTAACATTTTTTAAAAGGCTTATCTTGTGAAAATATGTACTGAAAGGGAACAAGTGAATTACCTTGAGATGTTTCCTCTGGATGTACTTGCAACATTGAAACAAAGAACTATGAGCAAACTAGAACATAACCGCAAACAAATTGGCTAAAGACTTTTTTCTGCCATGAATACTTTCAGTATCTTCCACCAGAGAAGTGTAATGACAAGAATGGCCCATTTGTAGTTCTCCAGATACTTGACCTACAACTTCCACAATCGCTCACAATTGACTGTGCTGGCTGGGGCTGATAGGAGTTGCAAGCCCAGACATCTGGGGAGTCATTACTCATGCTCAGCCTGAACATACCGCTAAGGCTTAGCACTAAGGTGGAAAAGGCCGGTTTCTGAAATTCTGGCCGGTTTCTGAAATTCTATTAACCAGCAAGCTCACCCATGGTAATAGAACACCCCGTCCCAAGTCAGAGAAAATAACCATGTTCTCAGCTGCTTAAATGAACACAGAATCGCAGAGCTGAGAGGTCCTTCTTGGCAACTTACTGCAGTCCCTTGCTTGAGGCAGGGAATCTGGAGCTCAACATCTCCAGCAGACGGCTGTCCAGCCTTCCAGTGTGGGACAGTTCACCACCACTATAGTTAATGATACTTGAGTTGCCTGCAATATGTAACTTCCCAAAGGGTTGGATGCTGGGACTATAATTTGAAAACAAGCACCTCATCCAATGTACAAAATGTGGCACAGTCATGGCTATTAACCAGGGGATGCTCTTTCCCTCAGGGCTAGAAGCGTTAGAAGCACCTGAACAAGGGTTAACATTTCAGTCTGCTTTTTGTGTCTTCTGTATTCCAGAGCTGCACCACCATGAAGCAAGTGCAATATTTGCACTGGAATTCAGCAAGGTATTATTAATGTGATTTTATTCACCAGCTTACCATTTTGCCACATATTTCTGAAATACACCCAAGCCCCAAATCCCCTAGAATCAAGTTTATACAAGTTGATCTTAAATGATAGTAGATAGTAGATCAACTTAATAGACAAGTCACTGGATGCCAGAAGAAAATGAGGGCCATCTCTATATAATGAACCTGTTCCCATTTCATGTTCCCCACTACCCAGTGCAGCTGGGGACAAGTTGTTGAGCTGGTTGGCACACTGGTCTAGCATGACAGTGAAAATGTCCTTATGACCCTGGCCAATATCCGTATTAGACAAAAAACAAGTTAACTGCCATGTTTGCTAATACCCCATGTAGGGTATCGGTGTACCCAGCTGCCATGATGCAGGCAGACATTTGGTTAATTCTCACTTCTGTATTGAGCTGTTTGTCCAATGACATTTGCAGCTGCAAATAATTTTAAAAATGGCTGATACACGCAAGCAGGGAAAGGACTCTCCTGGATCTAGTGCCATTGACTTTGGGTTTCTCTCGAAGTTGTTGGGAAGGAAAATGAATGAGCAGTAGAAAATGGTTACTTATTTGAAGTGGCATTCAGAATAAGTAAATGCAGTAGCTTTAGGGGACAATTTGGTGATCGGGGGAACTTTTATAAGAATGAAGGTCAAGGCCTAGAGAACTAGGATATGAGGATATCTGGATGGCTTTGCTCCTATTCACTATTTCACTGCTCAGTGACTCAAGATCATGCTACTTTAAAAGTTGGTAACATCACCCGGCTGTTGAAAGGGGGTTGGGGCTTCATAAATTGGCTTCAGAAAAAAACAAACAAACATTAAGTCACTTGCACATCAAATTTAAAATAAAAACAAACAACAAACAAACAAACAAAAACCCCAAAGCCTTAGAAGAAAGAAAAGAAAGTAAGCACATACAATAAATGTACAACCAACAGAAGAGGAAAGTGCATTTTAAACAGTATCTTTGGCAAGATTATGCAGTTCTTTGTGCATGGAGGAGGGTGTTTTGTGCATGTGTATAAAATATAACACCTTCTATTGAAATAGTAGAATTGTTATTACATAGCATACATGGGAAAAATTACATTAAACATCAGTCCCAGGCATTGGAAATGAGGTGATGTGTTTCGAATAAAAGAATATTTTCTTTTGCTTTTAAAAAGAAAGATAACCAACAAAGGGCATACGTTCATTTGATGATTATAGCAGCTCCTCCAGCACTTATGGTTCAACAGAAGACAAACTAAATGAGTCCAGAGCAGGGGCTCTTTTGCCTGTGTCATAAAAAGCCTCCCCAAGCCATATCCTTTTATGGCTGAGGCCAAAGGCAGAGGGGACCTTAAAAAATGATTCACCAAGCCAGTCACTCACGCACATCCTGGATCAATGGTTAGGCAGCCCAACACAGAAGGAACATGGCTTAGCTCATCAGCCCCCCAGGCAGGGGTGACAAGGAAGGTGGAAGGCAAAGCAGTTTGTTATCCCCAAACTTGTGACAACAGTTTGAAAACGGGCTGCTTTTTTCAGCTCTTGCATATCCAAGGAAGGTTGTTACCTATCATGGATGGGTTGACAGTCCATAAAAATGGACTGAGTGGCAATTCTGGTCATCCCTGCTGTGAGACCCTCAACTCGACCGGAAAGGCACACTGCCAGTTCAGCAAGGCGAGGTACAGTGACTCCATCAAGATATATACAGGAATTCTTGGGGTGGGTGGCAAGCTCAGTGGGCTGGAGCGCGAATCGCCCCAGCAGCCACCTGCCGCACATTCATTTTGAGAACCCTCGGCCTCGGACCATGCTGGAGGAGCTGGAGGTCTTATCGACACACAATCGGGGCAACAATACCAACCCTACTTCTAAAACGCAGCCTTTTGTCTTGAATGCAAGCTGGAAAAGCAACAGGTAAGAATGTGTAGTGATTAGCTTTGCCCTTTTTTTAAAGCCATAATTAGTAGGTATGTTCTAACAGGGAAGGATCTTAAACTTTCCATCTTCAGTGAGTGAGTTAGTATAAGCAGCAGTGAGCAGGTAATGGCTGGAAGCAGCTATTTCTGCCGACATGCATGAGCCTGCTATGATGATCCGTATTTGTATGTGACTGCTGGGTGCCCTGTATCAAGGTTACACCTTTTTTTCTTTTTTTGGAATGGCAAAACAAAAATGAACCATTACCTTCCAGTGCCACTTTTTGTGGCAAGACAGCGAATGTTGAAAGGGAAAGGAGAAATTGCAAATTTCTGAAAGCGGTGAAAAGAATGAAGTCTGAAAAATAGAGACTTTCAAAAAATATATATATTTATAATATTTATATATCTATAGACACAGTGTTTCTCTAATTGGTTAATGGCAGGGTGAGACAGTTGCAGGCGTGGGAGGGGGGTCATCTTGCTCGAATTTTGCAGAAGGAGGGAAATATTGTAACCAACATAAAAAATAAGCTGCCACAGTCTCCAGCATCCCATCTGGGTGTGGAGCCTGGGTGATGGCATGAAAAAACTGGTGCTCCCACTCCATCCAAGTATTTGCTTCAGCAACAAGCTCTTGGATGCAAGACACATGCTTTACACATCTCAAGAAATGAGTCTCTCCACATACTTTCACACATCCACACGCCGCTAACCCTCACATCACTCAGCAATGAAATACAAATTCATACATGCTCAATTTCTTGGGCAGATTACTCAAAATGAGGCGGCGGGGGTGAGAAATGCCAAACTGTTGCATTTCCCCATGGTACAGTATCAAAAGACATGGCTTCTGGGGGCTTGGGAGGACCGGCATCACTTTCTGAAACCTTGCCATGTCAATAATGCTAACCAAATACGCACTTTGCACTAAGTTATACATACAAGAGACTACAACATGGGTGGGGGAGAGGGAAAATGGGGGGAACTGCAGATACTGGAGAAAATAAAAGATAGATAAAAGCAGTATGTCAAAAAATAAATACTTTTTGTGTAAATTTCACTTTTTAAATTTTTTTGATTAGCTTACATTATTTTGTCATTATATTTCATACATACATACATACATACATATATTATATCAAGGCAATGTGAGAGGTACACTCTCTAGGGGAATTTAGGTGGCTGCATGACTTGGAGTTGATATTTTGGACTGTACGCTGCAAGACTTCAAACTGAAGTGTCTCATCAACTCACGGTCTATCCCTAAATGTCTTGTTTCCGCACTATTTCAGGTTCTGCTTTATCAAAACCAAGGTGGTATTTTAGAGGCGACAGCTTTTCATCAATGGTTTTTCATTGAGGCCCTTGAACCCTGTTGGAGGATAGCAGCCCAACCCACCCAAAGAAGTTGGAACAACTATTCAGTGTTATTGAGAAGATGGGCTGAACTTACAGCCCACTTCGTAGAATCATAGAAGAGTAGAGCTGGAAGGGGCCATGAAGGCCACTGGGTCCAACCCCTTGCTGCTGCAGGACACCACGTTACACCATCCCACTCAGATGGATGGTCTTTATCATTGACTCGCACTGTGGCTGTCCATGTCCGCCTCTTCTGACACCTTTGGCCAGCTCCCTTTGGGCCGCTGACATGGCAAGGCAACCATGACTTGCTTTCAGCAGGGCTTTGGCCCTAGCTTTAAACAGAGATGGAAGAACTCACAATAAAGACATGGGATCTGACACATGGGATCATTGTTTCATCCACTCACCACAAGAGTTTGTATCTGGGACTTGCCAATCACAGATCTCAGAGAGGATGGAGAGAAACTCCCTACGATGCTATAGGAAGTCTGTGTGATAGACCTCTCCCCAACCCAAGAGACCTCTCTTGACCACTCACCCTCTCCTCGACAAAGGTGCCCAGAGTCAATGGGCAGGGCTTGGGTGGCCCCCACTAGGAATGCCAGAAGTCATGCTTGTGGAAGGACTGGTGATGTTAAATAGGAAAATACATAGTTCCTTGGTGGCTACACTGTGGAGATGGGTAAGATGTTGCTCTGAACAACCTATTTGCAAGCTAGTGGGGCTGCCTCTCTTTCCAGACCCAATGCCAGTCAAAGACCATGCTGCCAACTGTTGGCTAGCAAGTCACTGCAAGATCTGATGCTCCATACCCTGGGAAGCTGAAGCAAAGCTGAATGAGGCAAAATTATAAGCTCATTTTGCTACATCCCCCACGCTGAACCTCCAGTAGACGGTTCACACAGAGCCACTGGTGTTTGTAACAACTATGGCCTCCCTTAAGCCAGAACTTACCCCAAGCTGGCTCTTTTTAAAGATTATCCCTAGTATCTTCAAAACAGAATCCCCCCCACCCCCATGACTGGATCATTCATCTTATCTTAAGCTACGAGTCATTTCCATGCAACATACAAAACCACGTGCATGCCTCCCAAACGAGTAGGGAGAAACCTGGGCAGGGTTGTTTTAATCTTACACATAAAAGAAATGGCATTCCCAAGTTGCTGGTATTAAAAATGAAATAGGGACAGGGGCTGTGGGCCAGTTTTTCTCTTCAAAGGATCTAACATGACCCTCATTGCATAGAGACCAGAAGATATTCCTGCTTTGTCTAGCATGCTCCTAAAATTAGCTAGGAAGAAACTCCCTGCTCCATAACTTGTATGTACAAATGTATTTGTGCACATGCGCGTGCGTGCGTGCGTGCGTGTGTGTGACTACCGGTTAAAATCAGAACTTCCCACTTCCATGATGAATCTTACACTACTTGTGGCTGCTCAAGATGCTTTCCTCTAGTTGGAGTGATATGACCTTGGAGAAGGAGGAAAATGCAGGTGTCCACAGGTAAAAATTCTGGAAAAAACCACTCAGCATTCACCAGAGGCATGACCCTAACACTGCAGATTTCCACAGATACACATTAAAATATGTGCATACCACACACATGCGCGCGCACACACACACACCTTTGTACATTCAGCAGTTGAAGAGTTGGGAGCAAGAACTTTCAGAAATGGGTCCAATGATTGCTTGTTTGGCATGTCTCTTAATGTGATTCCTGCAGTTCACATAATTCATGATTTGTTTTTGTTTGTTTTTTGCCTTATTTTCTAAACAAGCAACTACAATATAGTCCTACCCCACAAAGGTTAATAAAATCCGTGCTTTGGCCTGAGGGGGCTGAATTCTCTGATTTCATGCTGATCCAAAAGCCAAGATTGTCTCTACCTCCTGAATTTGGCATTTCCTTGGTTTCTGCTATGTACGTACATTTGTTGGTTTGGGCCCTCCAACAATTCAGACCGGTTTGTTTTCTCTCTCTCATTCTCTCTCTCTCTCCCCCCATTGGTCCACTTCCCTCTTTCACAACGCACTTCCTCGCACTCATTCTCGGAACAACTCCAAGTCCTTCTTCAAAATTCAAGGGCAAGAAGCCCCCTGCAGGGGGAAGGCAGCAGTTCATCTCTTCTGAGAGGAGCCAAGCATGACCCTGGAAACAAAGTTGACAATGGCAGCCGCTGGCTGATCAGGGTCCAATTCTGCAAAGAGGTGGCAGACATTGTCTGTTGTGCTGCCTTGCTTCCTGGCCACAAAGCCAAAGAGTCTGCAGGGATGACAAAGAAATGCAGGGAGAGAGAAATCACACGTGAGAGATGAAACGCACGGCAAGCCCACAGCTGTTTGTGCAGTATGGACTGCTACCAAACTTAACCCTCTTGGTATCATGCCCTTATTTCAGATAAGCTAGCTACATACCCAATCTGATCCCAGAGGTATTTGAAACGTAAGAGCATAAAACATACGTACAAGATGTACATGGACTGGGAGAGATGTTTAAAATATTGGGAGTAGAGACAAGGATCCACCATACTGAAATGCCATTCCCTCAATAAGGATTAATTGATTTTTTTTAATTTTAAGAACTTTAGAACTTAGAATTTAGAAATGTAGAACTTTTAAGGAAAGTTATAAACACAAGATGGTAAAGGAACAAACTATGACCCTGCTCCTGTCATTTCTAATCAGAGAGGGAAAAATTCGGACAGGTGGAGATTCTAATAAAAACATGCTTGCTCTACACAGTACCTAAAATTAGTGGGGCCCATAAGCCTGCACAGCCTGCTGCAAAGGGACTAAGCTAGTAGCAAAGGCAGCAAAAGAAAGACGAAGCATGACATGAGAGAGAAAGGGACCCATATGCTGGTGTGTATTTTCCAAATCCATCGATGCTCTCAGACTTTCTTTTCTTGCCCACAAATCCCATTAAAAGTTTGGTTATAAAGAAACCTCAACAGCACCTTGCACTTAACTGATAGGCTTGCCTTAAACATCCCTACACTTGAGCTACATCCTCGAAGACTGTAGTTTCACTTGCTTACCTGTGTAGTGGGTTCTATCCTGCTTTGTTAAAATACATGCACGAATACCTTGTTACAATAAATTTATGAATGCATGATCTGAAGCAGTGAAAGATAACACACTGTGGTGATAATAACTGTCTGTCCTTTAACTATGGCAGGAGGTGTAAAGTAACCATGAAGGCGATGTGGCTAAGAATGGGCATTGCCATTCATTCAGGAATACAGTGGGCATGTCCAGAATAATTTTAAAAATGCGAGAGACCACCACACTTCTCTAACCACACCATCTGATTCATTCATCCAGGGGTCCCTGAGGGGAATGATGAGAAAACTCAACCCAGTGCAGCATAAAAGCCAAGGTCCTTCTTAAGCTAAGCAGTTCTTGGCCCTTGGGTTTTTTAGTCCCATGTTTCCTGCCTGCTTTCATAGTTAGGTCATAAGTGGACTGTAATGCAGCCAGTTCTGACTAGCTCTTCATCTGAACGCAACTCCCCTTAGCCCTGCCTTTCTCTCAGCCACTTGTACTCAGGAGCAACTAGTTCAAATGGAACAATTAAAGATGTCTGGAAGGTTTGGAAAATCTAGATGACTATGAGAAGGGCCTCTGTCCTGCACTGACACTGTGGTGTTTCCACACTGACACCAGTAAATTGGGACTTACTTTGCTGATCCCCCGCTCTCCGACTTAGTCCACCTGAGCAAAAAAGCACAACCTTTGGTTAGTGGGCACAGGAACGGCAACAACTGAACAAACCACATTCATTACATTCCTCATCTGCCCAAGCACTACTGTTTTCTAATGGCTATGTTTCTACAGTGAAGTATTAGGGAACGAGTCTTGGAAGTAATGCCTTAATTTTCTGTGACTAAATACTTGACCCCTTTCCTCTCACTAAAAATAAGCACAGCAACTACATGCAGGAAAGGGGGTGAGCCCTCTCTATCCAGAATATCCTTCCAGAATATTATGATAATTCACTTATTAACCCTTCTGAGAAATCATCTGCTCCTTAGAAAGCATTAACAGTTATTGAGTCTTTCAGGTGTTGCAAAAATTATTCAAAGTATCAAGCCCAGGATGTTGCTACAGGGTCTCAGCTGACCACCAAACAGCATTCATAAAGAACAATGGACAACAGCAATTTTCTGCAACCCATTGTAAGTCACAGGCTCTCAACCACATGATGAAAAGATCTGTGTCAGCAAATGCCAGTAACTCAGGGGAGTTTGTATCTGAAACCAAGCTTGTGTTATTGTGCAAGGCAAGGCAAGGCAAACTCAACAGAGTTCTAATTGTCAAGTTGGCTCCCCACTGTTTATGTGGTTCCTTATGCCTGAGGAAAAAATGCCTGAAGAGTCTGCAAATGCCATCCATTGATGACCATGTGTTGTCTTTTTGCTTGGACATATTCTTGGAATGATAGGTTTGAGGTTTGGAAATAAAGGAAATCTGACAGTAGCATGACAGAGGAACAGAGGCTTAATTACCAGGGCTTCTTATTTTCACATGGAAACTGAAATCTGCAATAATGTTAGGCTTTCTCAGAATGAAGGATTCTGAGAAACGAGCATTGGCCAACTTCCCATTGTTCTACTGCATACATTCTTATCACTCCATTCCAGCCAATTGTTTATGCCAGTTCTAACAATGAAATGTAGCTACAGGTTGCAGCTCATTCAGGAAGAAGATTCCTTATGTTTCCATGTAGTCTTTAGAAACGGTATAAATGTGAAGTTTCTTCATGGATACAAACCTGTTCTATGGCCAACCTTTTCTTCACATTCTACACCAGAGACCTTCCCACTCCTTCCAAGTAACACTACAGAGACGGCCGGTGGGTCCCTCATTGTGAAATATTCTCCACAAGCTAGCTTAACTCTGCTAACTTTTAGGAACTTGAAATTTTTTTACCCTCTTCATGTTTATATTGTTATCGGTGCTGCTTTTACTGTTTAGTTTGCTAAAACTGCTCAGCTGTAAAATTTTATTGCTTATTGTTAGCTACCTTGAAAGTTTTTATTGAAAGGTGGGATTAAAACTCTTAAAAAGTATGTGATAGCAACCATGAAGACAATAGTTTCCTAGACCTGATGTGTGTAGACATGAATACAGTACACACATATATGCACATATTCATACATCTAGCTTCATGCTTTGGGTTTCAATAAACAGCGCCACTTACTTTCTTTCCTGCGGGTCCACGTCACAGAAAGTGACAGTGGTAATGGGATAATGTCGTCTGAAAAAGAGTCTGAAACAGAAACATGGACAAGGGTAAGTAAGGGTAAGGGAGAGTAAGTACCCGGAGGAGGGCTTTCTCTGCGGTGGCGCCCAACCTATGGAATTCACTCCCCAAAGAGGTCCGCCTGGCACCGTCGTTACTGGTTTTTCGGCGCCAGGTAAAGACCTTTTTATTTAAACATCATTTCAATTGTTAAAACATATGATCTGGCCTGGGCAACTTCTTCTTCCTTCTCTTTCTCCTCCTATATTTTTATCTTATACTGATAATTTTAATTTTGTACTTGTAAATCAATGTATTTTTTTGTATTGTTATATTTAATGGTAATTTATTATGTACTATTGTATTTCAATGTATTTTATCATGTTGTAAGCCGCCCCGAGGTTTCGGCAAGGGGCGGCATAGAAATGTTATAATAATAATAATAATAATAATAATAATAATAATAATAATAAGTGCCATGGCCACCTGAAATAATAGTGGATGAATGATGGTAAGTCCATCTAGACTGATGAATTATCAACCCCAGGGTAGATCAGGTGACAGTATTATGGTGAAATCATGCTTTTTATGGCCCCTGCATCAGTTGTATTCAAGAATGATGGAACAATGATCAGTAGATTTATTCAGTGCAAAATACCCTGCACATGTTTGATGCTTGGCAAAATGAGATCCTGTGGTAATACAGAAAACCAAAATGGGTTATAATGAGGAGCTCAACCTTTAAGGCAGGGAGAAACCTGGGGAAGTTTGAAATAGCAAAAGTGATGGCACAGAAAAGGACGGAACTCTCCTCTTCCTAACCCACAGATTCCAGACCATACGTTGCTCTTACTTCCTCTGGTTGTCTGTCAAGGTGATTCCTTGCGTTGAGACTTTGAAGTGGACAATAGTAGCAGCGAGTGGGGTGTCGGAGGCCAGTGTCTCAGTGATCGCTTTGGCAATGGCCTGTGGCCCTGTTAATGACTCCATCTCCACCGAGTTAATGAAGAGAACATTACAGGCTAGGAAGAAAAACAGCACACGCGTCGGTGGGATGGCACAATGCAGGAGAAGCTAAAATACGCATGACCCTGCTGTTGCTTGCATTGCGAGGAAAACAAGGTGCATGCGTCTCAACAGTTCTACTCATACAGATCTGTCCCAGCAACTGCAGTTTACCGTAGTGATGGATGGAGCGCTTTGCTTTGTATTCTGTAGTGTTCAGATTTCTTTCAATCGCAAGTTTATTTCATTCCCATTTCTGCATCAGTTTTTGTATGCATTTTGAGGAGTCTGCACAAAAATCTGCAGGCATGGTCGCGCACGCACGTGTACTTCAGTGCGTTTTGCAATGAAAATTATCCAGCTGGTTCAAAATAGGTGAGCAAGATGGCTAAGGGGGAGCAGGCAATATGATCATATTACACCTGGTTTCTGTGATCATTGCTGGCTCCCAAACCATTTCTGGGCCTGATTCATTAGCCTGTAAAGCCCGAAATTGCTTGGGGCCAAGTTAACGGTAGAATCATCTCCTCCCATGAAAACCTGCCCAGTCCCTAAGCTCATCTTCAGAAGCCCTACTCTGGGTGCACCTGCCGCATGAGCTAAGTGGGCGAGTGCCTTATCATGGCGGAATGGGCTTGCCAGGTGTTTGCTCTGTGACACCAGGTGGAGACCCTTCTCATTTCACTGTCCTTTGTATTTTTTCCCACTTGTTTTGACATGGGTGTGGGCAGGTGCAGTGCAGGCTCCTGTTTCTTGAGGGCCTTTGGTCAAGACTCCCTCAATGGACACCAAGAGGTATTGCTGGGCTCTTCAAAGATTCAGATCTCAAGAGCATAGGATACAAATCTATATAAAATATTAATATGCTAATTTAATCTATACGTTAGCATTTAGAAAGAATGACTAGGATTTATTTAAATTTCACTTTGCAAACACCCTGGACAGACAGAAAGATGAACAAGCAGTCCTAGAAGAAGACAAGGAGAGAAGACGATCGTGTTAGGGAAAGACAGAGGCAAAGCATGAAAGGGAAGACCAGATACAAGGGCTGAATCCATAAAGGAAACTAATGGAAGGCTACCATTTCTGTAATTAGAGTGTTCATTTTTAATATTATTTTCCTTAGTATGCGTAGGTGTTTGAGCACCTTATCCTTATGGCCACATTTTGTATGCATTCTTATTAGAGAATACCATTGCAAAATTCAGAGAAGTGTGAATTATGAAGCATATCTGAGTTTCATTTTGTGTACTGAGTACAAAATTGGAACTGAAAAAAACTTTTCCTGCCCTTCATCTACAGATTTGTGTGTGGCTTAGAAAGTTCCAGACTTTTTCAAGTTGAAGAGAAAAACTGTTTCTACTGTTATCACTCACCTGCTCCTTGTTTGAGCAGGTCTGTTGCTGAGTTGCTTGATGAAGTGGTCTCTTTTGCTTCCTCCATGGGATCTTAAGAGGAGAGAGAGGGAGGGAGGGAGGCTGTTCACTCTTGCTAAGAGCTCTTCTAGGTGCATTTGCTGTGGTCCTTTTAACACACACACACACACACCTCTACTGCTCTGCCATACTCACAATAAAAGGGCTAAAAGGGTATACACATGTATCCCCCTAAAAACCTTTCCAATATGTATTTTATGTATAGACAGATGTTTGTTCTCCCAGACTATTTCTGAAAATGGAACTTGCAGATGGTAGCTATTACATGTTAATTAATAGACTATTTTGAATTTGTGCTATAGGAACAAAAGGACAGTGCCTTGTACTTCTGCATGACTCCCAGGGGATGGACAGACACACACATATACACACAGCTGCTCTGTACTAAAACAAGCCAAAACAAAGAACAAAAATAACACCCTGATCTCATGCTACCTTATATCCAGCTTTCAAGTAAAGTAGTTGGCAGCAAAACTCATTCTGTTTATGGGAGAATCTTACTGCTCCTTAGCCCTTATTCTTCTCCTTCTTTGGTGGAAGTTAACATTCTGGAAATCTCCTGATTTGAAGCTCATGTCCCAATTGGAGGCCATCAGAACAACAGCCTTCAATGTGATGACCCAATTTCTATGGCATTCTCTGCCTCTGGAGGTCAGGCTGGAACCAATATTGTTTTGAATTCGATGCCAGCTGAAGACACCCATGTTCTCAAAAGCCACAATTTGAATGTGACCTTGTCATTAATATATGGGTGTTTTACACTTTTATTTGTCTTCATGTTTTACTGTTCACCACTCTGGAATCTGCCTAGATATGGAGCGCTACAAAAATGCTATGGATGAATAAACAAAGTTTTATAGCCCATATACTGATTCAACCCTAAAATTCAAGCAGTGAGCGTGAAGGGAAGGCCCTGGGACTTCTAGCTGAGTTGTGTTTCTTTAACCAGGAATATGAAGAGTAACTCCTCTTCTCAGAGGTTCTGAACATACCTATGTGTGTGCACATGTGCCTACATGTGCGTGCACACACACACCCTCCAGACTGAATATGCATGGTGTTATCCCTATGTAACCCTGCTCCTGCATGCATTCCACCCTCTATTCGATTGACTGATTGACTGATTGATTTTTATCCCCACCCCACCCCCCATTAGCTATAAGGATGGGCTACGAAGGGCAGGCTACACATGTCTTGATGTTAGCACCTTTACCTCGGTCAGGAATGACCAGCTTGCAGGGCAAGGCCAGAGGCATGATGGAGTGCTGGTACACCAGAGCAGACAGGCAACCTGGAGAGAGATGGGGAGGCAGGGGGAGAGGGGGAACACGGTCAAAGCTAAGACTAACGATGGTGTAACATTGGTGGCACTCTGTTTCTGTCCCTGTGTTCTGTTGTGATGCTATTTATGCTTATGGGCTCCTTTCTGATGTTCTACAAGCATACAAGACCCATTAATGGGATACACCCTAAAGCCTGACTGAATTTGGATGCGGTTTTAAGGTATATTTTAATCTTGCAAAGCACATCAATATTTTAATAGTAAGTGATACACAAATGTTTTTAATAAGTCTATGCATGTATGTCCAGGAGCAGATTCTGAAATCTGGTGCTTAGATGGTTCCTCCTTCTAGGAGAAACACTTCACTGACCTACCTGCCACCTTACACCAGCGCTGTGCATGCCTTTGCTCAGGGAACCTCACAAGCAAGCTCAGGACTTGGGTTTAGCCAGCATTTGATGGGCGTCATACATCTGTATGCTTAATGTTCCTCCAAACGGGGAACCATGACAACCAGTTGTTCAACAGCAAACCAATGAGCTGTCTCTCTTTTTGTAGCAGCATCACCAGTGCTTTCCCATGGCTGAATCTCAGACTGCTAAAAGACTGGCAGAGTCACACCTTAAAGAATAAGGGTGCAGTCCAAAAGCTTGCCCATAAACCTCCCACCTGAGAGGACCAGGCACAGCAGGAGAGACAAGTAGGGAGGCGAGATCGCCTTGATGCTCCTTCCCCATGCAAAACACTTATATGGCCAATATGAGAGCCAGCGTGGTGGCTCTAGTTCTGGAGTGGGGACCTGAGAGATCCAGGTTCTACTCCTCACTCAACCATGAAGCTCACTGGGTGACTTGTTGTGAGCATAAAATGGAGTGGACATAGACTATGTAAGTTGCCTTGGGTTTCTCCAAGGGGGAAAAGGTGGGATACAAATTCAACATAGCAGCAATGCCAGTAATAATTATTTTGGTCATGGTGGTCATTGGAGTGCAAGGAAAGGAGACTGAGGTGCTGCCAGGATTCTGCTTATGCTGGCAGAGCCCACCTTCTCCCTGCCCTGGCCCCAAAAACCCTTCTCCAAGGTTGCCTTTGGGACCTTGAGATACACCTGGCATGGTTCATTCTGCATCCCTTGCAAGGATGGAGAGAGGAGACTCCAGGTCCAGGGTTCAGATCTGACCTTGGAACTACCTTCTGAGGTCACAGGTGGGACTCCAAATTTTCTGTGACCATCTAGACTCCAGGGTCGATAGAGTTATACTGCCTGTCTTGGCATGAACTTTCATTAGCGAGAGCCTCATTTACATGATGAGAAGGTGGAAATAGATGCACGGAGGCAGAAGTTTAACCTATCCATGCTGAAAGAGGAGATTAAAAGAACAGGGGGCATATTTTGATAACAGAAACAATGGTTGAATTGACGGGAGTAGAACAGCATAATGGCCTTCTCAAGCCACTACCAATACCAGTGGCGTTAGGGTGTGCTCAGCTCTCAAATCGTAGAGCTCTGTGCACTTAAAAGAAATGGATACTGAACAGAAGCTCTTCCTCTTCCTGCAAATGCCCCTGACATTTCTGGAATGTCAGCTTTAATAGATGCATCTTGGTTTAATATTGCACACCCTGTTCACTCCTGCCAGAACATATTGCAGGCTATTTTTATCACAGCTTCCACAAGAGGGCAGGATGGGACAGAAGGTATTGTATACATGAACAGTGAAAGGGGCAAAGCACACACACTTACCAAAATTTGGCTCATTGGGGCATCCTTTTAGCTTGACCCCCTTAGGACTGGTTTCAATGAGGAAGTGCCTTACCAGCTCATTGGTGATATCTCCTGCAGGGACAAATCAAATATATGCTACAGAAGTTTTGTCTAAGCCTGACTGGCCTGAAAATGATGCAGAGTCTGGAGAAGAACCCATTCGCTGCTCATCTTCAGTGAGAAGTAAGAGGAAGTTGTAACTGCTTCTCCTTCGTTCATGGGGACTGACTACATGCCACGGCCTCTTGCCGAGCCGACATCATCCCTTAGCATGGAAGGGAGGCCTGTGGCACTTACCTATCTGATTTACCAGTTGGCCATACAAGCAGTAACACAAGCTGATTCTCTGCACGGCTATTTGTGGCACAAGAAATCCAAAGCCCCGTCCTCACATGCCAACCCATCAGAGGCCACAGCTGCTTAAAATCCAGATTAAAGTGGTCGACGGTGAACCTGTCACAAATCACAAGCCCTACAGCTCTGTTCCCTGTCAGAAAAGTTACTGGCGACAGGAAAAAGCTTAATTTCTGCTCCATAAATATGGAACATAATTCGAAATATGGACTTGCTATTGGAACAGGGCATATTTGCTGGCCCTTTGGAAGCATGAAATACCTATCAGGCAACCAGAGGTTTCAAGCCGCTATCTCTCCTATTTCAGTTGCCAAAATCCTGCCCAAAATGAGGGCGATCTGCAGTTTATGTACACCACAAAGCAGGGTGTGAGCTGGGTGTGAGGCACCCACAAGGGAAAAAAGACTGTACCTTTCTTGCTCTGTTGCACAACGCCAGGTGGTGGTGAAGCAACCTTCATGGCCAACCCATACGCACCCCGGAAGGAGTGGCTGTCTCGGATGATAAAAGCCCCCGGTTCCTTGTCTTTCAGCAATGCAATAGCTGGGAGAGAAGCAAAGTGCATCACACAGGGGAAAATGCATTCAAACAATAATGAGCACTTAGTGAATAAACATAAATGAATGCATGCACCACAGGATAATTAAATGTGCAAGGAAGGCCTTTGCTTCCTAGTTCACTCACTCGTTTTTCTGATATTATAAAAGGACAGCAGGGCGGAGACTAGCTCAGGCCAATCCCCAATACGCCCCCCACCAGTGCCTTTTAGGGTATTTTCTGATCTACTTGTGTGCTTAAATATGGAAGTCCTTTTATGACTTGATTAAGGCAAGAATGAAATTGTGGAAGAGACAAGTCAGTCCCTCCTCCCAGGAAGCCAGGCCAACCTCCATTCAGTAGCAGTCACTTTACCCTTGCAAGGGAGATATGAAGGAAACGAGGGAACATGTTCTTGGATTAAGGATGGCTCTGCAGCCCTGGGCTGCCAAGTGCCTCAGCTGTTGATGGGTGAGAGGAATTACTGTTGACACAGACATAAACAAAGTCTTTTAAAGGGGTCCTTCACAATTATCGGAACTGGCTTGAGGCAGAGGTGCATTATGAATCATTAACCAGAGAGCTAAAGGCTGACATGGCGGTCGATTCCTTTGCTAGATCTGCAAACTTCACCTTCCTGAATACTGATATATGGAATCTCTTTACCTGCGTGTCATTGCCTGTAGAAGCAATGTCTTATAGGCATCAATTAATGCAGGAAATCATCTCTACGTTTTTTAAAAAGAGCATCGCTTTACTGTTACTGACATTTTCTTCAATAATGACTTTTTATCTTTTGGCCAGTCAGCTCTGTATGACTGGCCAAACAGAGGGGTCTGAAAAGTACATTTGACTGGTGTAGATTCGCCCTATAACCACATACCAATAGTATGAATAGTCTAGTTTAGGAGGTGGGAAATTGCTCAGAGGTGAGGATGAACTGGTGGCCCATGCAGGGATAGTACAAGCATCAGAAGGCTGTACATTCCAAGGCACCTCAGGTGGGGAATTGGCTTGCTATGAGTTCACATGACCACGGGCTCTCTCTACAGGGCATTTTGCCTCTTTCCCTAGCCAATGGCCGAGCATACAATTCACTGGGGATACCAGGATGCAATGTCAAATGCATGTCTGTTGCCAGAGAAACAAGGAAAACTAGCAGCACTCTACTGGTGTCTGGAAAGGTTTGCTTTGGCTTCACTGGACTATGCGTTCCACTGTCCGTGCTTTCTACCAATGCTCCCCAGCCTGATGTCCTCCAGAGGTATCGGACTGTCCTCACTTCCCACATTAAAAGGAAGTGGAAGAGGAAGTCAGTGGCACTGCAATTCCTGAGTAGGTTACTAGAACAAAGGTCCTGAACTGAATCGATTTGCTTGTGGCACGAAGTCCATTCAATGCGCAACACTGTGTAATACAGCAATGCAATATAGAGAATGCCAGGAAAAGCAAACCGAAAAGTAACACACATTTAGACAAATTTGTAACAGACCATCTCCTTTACAAGCCACTGCATGCAAATATCTTTAAATTTATGACAGGTTTTCTGTGTTGCTACTGCAAAGGTAGTGACTTATTTGTGATGTAATTACAAGTCACAGATACCTCTCTGCTGAAGGCCATCCAACTCTTATTTTCAAGAGATCCCCAGGAAGCAAGCTTTGGATTCCATATCTGGGAGATAATATAATGGATAATGTGTGACATCTTTTACATTGCAGTGGCACAGGTACACATTTGCTATGTGAGGGAATTCCATTTATACTTCCCCTCCAAATGAGCAGAACGCATGGTCTGAAAATGAAGCACAGTAAATGCTTATCTATCAGTTCATAGCTGTGTGTCTGTGTCTGCAAGGCTAGGTATGGGCAAAAAAATTCACTTCAGTTTGATTTTAATCAGAGTTTTCCAAAATTCATAAAGTTTTCCATGAACCATAAAATTTCAGTAAAAAAAATGGAAATGTAAAAAAGAAAGAAATCAAATGTGGGGAAAACCAAACCTGGCAGATCCATCCATTCAGGCCCAGAGTTCTGAGTCTTGTGCTCTCAGAAGTCTGGTTTGTATCCCTATCCTTTCAACCACATCCGTGCTGAATGTGGGATGTATCTTTTTCCCCCCTGACAGGTGCTGACAACGCATCTTTAGCAGCTATGTAGTACTAGGCAGATACATCAAAGTCCTCTTCCATGCTGGGAAGAGCTGTACCTGATGAATTTGATTGATGTAGATGGGTGAACACTTCAGTTAGTTTGGAATTTTATGGAAATTCACCAACAGCTGCAAAATGCTTTGGGTTTTTGTGAGAGAAAGAACTTGAGATGTTCAAAATGTGACTGTAAGGGAAAGTGCAATTGACAGAGTTCCCTCATCCTGGGTGCATGTACATGAAGTGCCTGGGAGACCTCTGAAAAGGGCATTGAAAAGAGGAACATTTGCAGTAGATGAGCTTAGAAACAATGGTTGAAACAGCAAGAAAGTAACATATGTGCACACATATTTGGGGTAGAGAGAAACCTACCTACCAGACCAGTTTGGCTATGGCACGTTGTTTTTACTTGAATTTGATGGAGGCAATGTTTTTCCAGGGAATTTTAAGGTGTTAAAAAGATCCACTGGATTATTTACTTTATTTATTTATTTAGAAAATTTATAGGCCGTCCATCACTGTTGTCTCTGGACGGCTTACAGAATATTATAAATCCCAAACAAAATAAATTAGCTATACCAAGAACTGAGCATAAAACTGACATTTAAAATAAATTAGATAAACCATCTACAATTAAAATTAATTGACATTAAAATATTGATCAAATAAAAAGGTCTTGACCTGGTGCCGAAAAGCATATAATGATGGCACCAGGCGGACCTCTCCGGGGAGCACATTCCACAGCTGGGGCGCCACCGCAGAGAACGCTCTCCTCCGAGTACTCTGTCTCCTAACCTCTTTCAAAGATGGTTCCCAGAGGAAGGCCTCTGCTGTCGATCTTAGAGGGTGGGAAGGCATATAGGGAAAAAGGCGTTCCTTTAAGTATCCTGGTCCAAAGCCGCTTAGGGCTTTATAGATAATAACCAGCACCTTGAATTGAGTCTGGACTTCAATGGGAAGCCAATGGAGCTGATAGAGGACTGGAGTTATGTGAGAATAATGACTGGTCCCTGTGAACAGCCTGGCCACTCTGTTTTGCACCATCTGAAGTATCTGGACTGTCTTCAAGGGCAGCCCCATGTAGAGCGCGTTACAGTAATCCAAGCAGGAGGCAACCAGTGCATGTGTCACTGTTGCTAGGCAGTTCTCCTCCAGGTAAGGACACAGCTGATGGATCAGCCGAAGCTGAAGGAAAGCACTCCTCACCACCGCCATCACCTGGGCTTCCAGGGACAGCTCCAGGTCGGGGAGCACTCCTAAGCTGCGGACTCTCTAGATCCAGGGACGCCTTCTTTAGGACGGGCCTGATCACCACCTCCTTTAAAGAAGCAGGCACCCGGCCGTCCCTCAGAGAGGTGTTAATAACCTCCAGGATCCAGGAACCAATCCTATGATTGGCTCTGGTCAGCAGCCACGAAGGGCAAGGGTCAAGTAAGCAGGTGGTAGGATGCATTAGTGGAATATCCTAAAGTTTGGACGTAACATGAAGAGGGAAGGGGGCACAACAGAACTTTCCGTGGTTAAACACAGGAACAGGTCACATCCAGTAGTTTTAGACATGTCCATAACAACTTAAAATAGCCATCAGACACAACTGGTCAGCGAATGTCTCAGCATAGTATTTTATGGATGAAAAAAGATATTCCTCAAAGGATTACTTGCTCTGTTTAATTGCATTTTATTTTTAATACTCTCCAAGTGGCTAGAGTTCAGAAGAGAGAGACAAAGGCAACTCAGGTTTTGGAATACCAGTTGCATGAGGACATGGTGGAAGGAACCAGGACTGTTTAGTCTAAAGACTTGAAGGGATAGTATTGTGAGGACAAGAGGTCTGTTTTCAAATGAATGGAAAGAAATCCATAAAAAGAACATGAATCAACCTCCTCCTACTTGGGAAAGACAACAGGAGAAGGTACATAAGTGGTGCAAGGTGGTGATGTGATCACCATGCCACATACCACAGTCCAGCTCAGCCTTTCTCAGCCTTGTGTTCCCAGATGTTATTGAGTGAAAGTTCCAACAGTCCCTAGGAATCATGACCCATATTCAGGGATACTGGGAGCTGTAATCCAATACCATCTGGGAATCAATAAAAGCTGGTCTAGGACTTGAAACAGACAAAATCTGGAATCTGTTACATTTTCAGTGTTGCATATTGGAATGTTGGACTGGGACTTGGTTCATCCAGGTTTTACTCTTGAGTCAGCCATGAAGCTCACTGACTTTGGGCTAGTTGCTGATTTTCAGCCTAACCTACCTCACATGGTGGTTGGAGGATAAAATGGAGAGAAAGAGGACAATAGATGCCACACTGGGTTCCTTGCAAGAGGGGAAAAGGTGGGATGATGATGATGGTGGTGGTGGTGGTGATGATGGGATAATGAGGGTGTTTATCCAAATATTATTCTGGAATATTTCTCCAGGAGACAGGTTATGGGCTTCCACCCACCAGTAATGCCAATGATTTCATGTGCTCAGCCAAACTATCCTGCGGGTAGGTCCTCTCTTCCTGAGGTAGCCTGGTCATTTGGACCAAGTGCTAATGAGAGTGTTACCATCTCAGGGTTGCAAATGGTTGCAAAATCGTTGTTGATAACCATCCCTTGTGCCTCAAAAGAACCATGGCTAGCCACAGAGGTCCAAAATGTTATTCACTGAGTTGTACCATAATGGAGGCTCTGGAGAAAAGAAGGCTTATGGCAGACCTTGGTGTTTCCCTAATGATTTGGCAATTGCTTTGGTGCTTGGCATAAAAAAAGCTACAGAAATGTTTGAAGCTCTGATTGTCATGTACGGTTCACTAACCAAACTATGCTACTAGGAGAGAAACTCACCTTGTTCCCTGGAGATCTCTGGCTTGTACCAGTACTTGGAGGTATCCTGGACAAACTTCACATTTGCTCTGGTCTCAGGGCTGCTGTCTAAGAGACGGGAAGAGAAAGGAACCAAAGGTGAAGTACACAAGTAAGGAAATCTTAGGGAGTCTGAGATAATGTAGTTTAAATCCAAGTCAATTCCTCTGATAGAAGTCTTGGTGTTTTTGTGATCATTAGCAAGAAGTTGAATTATCACACTACTCTTCATGGCCTCTTTTCAAGCTGTTGCTTACACATGAGTAAACTACAAACATATTTATGGTGAACCAAGGGTCATGGCAATGAACTCTAAGTGTGTTTGTTCATAGCTGTTTCTTGTTGCCATGTCTTCTTCCTTCCCCCTTCCCCCCTCCCCACTTAAATTAAGACTGTACGCTCCTGGAGGCAGGGAATTATCTTTCCATTATGCCATTCTGTAAACTGCCTGCTTCTCCTATGGTGTTATAATACCAGAGCATATTTAAAGCAGGATAGGGAACACATGGCCTATGACCTAATATCAAAAAGCTGCCTGTAAGTTCAGCCCCTGGTAACCCAACCCTAGCAGCCCATTGGGTGGAGAGGAGGTGGGGTGAGAGAGAAGGGGGGCAGGAAGAGAGAATAGGGTCCCTTTGCTACTGCCCATGACTGGCTTTGGCCTCACCCACTGCCAATATACAGCTCGAGAGATTACTGCCAAAGGAAAGAGACCTTTGGCAGAGCAGAAGTTCTCCACCCGTGGTTTAATAGAAGATGAGGCAATAGCCTTACTGAAATTCAGCGAGCATGAGCTGGTCTGTTGCTAAATGGGAAACTATCTGGGAACCCTGTGTTATGCCTGGAGGTCCATGAAGGAAGCAAGCTGGGTATAAACAGCATAAATACTTAAGACCAATAGCATTTGTGGGAAGGTTCCTACAGTCCTGGCTCCTAAATGAATCAGTGTTATCTCAGAATGAGATACCTTTGCAAGCAACAAGCAGATCTAAATCTCCATTTAAAAAGATGAACGGCAGTTTATCAGAACAGGTGGACAAGGGTTAATTCTTATCAGTTTTTTGAGGAAAAAAATAATGGATTCAAGCCACAACTGGGCACTGGATGATGAAAAAACTGTGGAAGGAAAACGTGGAATTGCACTTGAAATTTCCTTGAAAGTTTCAAGGAACATCTTGGAGCACATCTTTCAAGAGTAAGTGACTGGGCATGGTTCAAGAGCCAATGCAGAATTAGAATCAGATTACCCCTTAAATTGAACTGGATTATCCCTCTATATTTTTACATTCCTATCATTCCATGTTTAAGAGTTGGCCTGAAATCATAGTTAAAGCCCAGACATGATGGAAGTGAAGAGATATTCCCATATACATGTTCAGTGACAAATGGTACTTATATCTGAATAAATTCCCCTAGCATTGGAGTATCACAAGCAAAAGATGGGAAGGGAAGCCTAGGGTATTAGGACAGAGGTGCCTGCAGGGGGAATTACAAAACTTAAGACAAGAACCAGGAAAAATCCCTGATGTTGATCAGACCTTCATCCAACAGGCTCCAGAGCGAGAGAGGGACCTGGGAACGCCTTCCCTTCCCCATGAAGCCCTACTAGTCAGCCAAACAGTAGCAGAAAATGAGGTTTTACCTGGCATCGAGAACTTGGAGAAATCTGGCAGGGTATGATGAAAGGCCATAGTGCTCCCACCGCTGGGACTGGACATGCCACTGGAGATGGGTGAAGAAGTCTTGCCGTTCACGGTGGCATAGTTGGGGAGGCTGTTGGACCGGTCCCCTGATGACATCCTCCTCTTCTCTGGAAGCTGTGGCTGGGGTGGCGTGGGGCTGCCCTGCCTGTAGACGGCGGAGTCAGGGGAAGAGGACTGTGGGCTGCCGACTCCGTGGAAGTAGGCCGGGGAGACAGGAAAAGATGGAGTAGAGGGAGCTTGGTAACCTGAGGCACTGCTTTGGCGGGACACAGTTGGGCGCTTCTCCTCCGGTGTGGTGTAGCCATATATGATATGCCGATCCAGACCGGGGCTCCCAGAGAGGATGGATGTGCTGCCTCCTGCCATGGGCTGATGACGAGCAAGGCTTGGACTGCCAGGTGTTGCAACAAGGTTGCCGTGCTGTCCCATTAAGTGCCTGTTCATGCTTGGGCTTCCTGGAGTGGCTGCCATGTTGGGGTTGACAGCTCTTCGCCCGAATCCTGGGCTTGGGGGAGTATTGGTGGCGACTGTTCTGTGCAGGGAGTGGGGGCTTCCAGGCACCACATGGACCCCAGCTGTACTGACCTGGGGTTGAGGCCTCAGGTGGCTCTCTTGCTGACTGCTGGCTCGGCCATCGGGGAAGTCGGTGTTCATATAGACCGGCAGGCCCTGAGTTGATGCGGATGTGTTTTGGTAGCTGCTGTTCACTGATGGCCCCTGAGAAAGATTGGTGGATTGGAAGCTGGACTCAGCAGAAGGCTGAGAGGGCAGGGCTATGCTGGTACTGTTCTCTGAAGGGTAACTGTGTACAGAGATCCTGGAAGAAGCAATGGGAGAGAGCAGAACACATCGCTGAGCTCCTCCTATATCCTGGAAGGTCACGAACATTTCAGATTCAAGCATATCAGAACCTCCCTGTTAAGCTCTTGAGACCTTCGTTCCCCATAAGCTCGTCCCATAAGCCTAACTCAAGCACAGGCAACTTTCTTCCAAAAGCCACCAGTTCAGGCTTCTGGAAAGGGTGATCTGTCCCTCCTCCGGCAGCCTTCTGGGCAAGAAGGGGAAAGGGAAAGAGAAAGAAATGGGGAAAGGTGGAGAAGTAGTGAGCCGAAAGTGTCCCCCCACCCACTTCCAGCATGAGACTTCCGTACAGATTAGTCCTGAAGGAAAATGGTCCTCAATCAAAAAAGGTTCCCCAGCATGCTTTAAGTCACAGTGCCCTTAAACCAATCCAAAAGACTTCTACTTTTGATATCCACTCAGATAAACAACACTATTTATTTGCCCTCCGGAATGTTCACATTTGTGTTCCTTTCTTCCTGATACCAACTTTGGGTCAACTTGAGTCATTTCCTGTGAGGCTGTTGTTCTGGCTTTCTCTTGCAATTTCACAGTTTGCAATCCACCCTGTGCCTGTATGAATGTAAACATTTTGGAGGGGAAAATATTTCACAATAAACTGGGAATGTGACCTTTGCATGTGGACATGGCGGCACATGGTCCCAAAATGCCAGTACTTCTAACTTCAGAACAAAGAGCACTTCATTTACCAGCATTTAATGCAATCCACTGCAAAGTTGCCCTGGAAAAGCCTGATGATTAAATGCACCACAGCCACACAGAATACAGTAAATGGAAACATTTTTCACAAGGCAAAATGAAAATAAGAAGCATATGAAGAAATACTCAACATTAATTAGTTTATTGTGGCATGAGGTGTCCTAAAGATGGGAGAGAGGTTAGCTAAAACCTGGCCCACAGCTGAGTAACACCAAAACAAGCGATTTGGAGAGGGTGTATATGGTATTTTGCGCTGTGCACTACAAACTCGCATCCCTGGTTTTTTCAGGTGCAGCTGGGAGAGGCTGCTGCTTGAACCCTTGCAGAGTCCCTGACCATAGGATAAGAGTGAGCTGGGTACAAAGCAGTTTCCTGCATGCCTTGATTACAGCTTTCTTCAAATTCATGGATACAAAATGCTGCATAACAAGACAAAAGAATACTTTTGCAGGAGTGGAATTAGGCCACTCCCTCTGTCTTCTGTGAATCCCAAGGAGAAGAACTTTGCAGTGGCCTGCACTAAATGTGACTAACGGGAGCACTGGCATAACAGGCTTCTGTGGGTGGATGATGAAAGCCATGACATAAAATGAAGATCGGGGGTGAACTACAATCCTTGTGTGATTTTTTTCCCCCAGATGAGAGAAGCATTCTAATTTCTGCTGGCCTAGTAGAAATATGTAAACAAAACACTCTTCCACACTCATCATTCTACCAATTGAATAAGGATCTCTGCTGACTGCCTCCTTCCAGAAACAAGCATTTCTGCTAGCTTTGTACAGGGGCTTCTCCTGAGAAGCTCTTAATCCCCTTTGTGTATGTGCTGGGACAGCTTGCACAAGGAACAGAAAAGAATCCAAAGGGATATTAGTGCTCCCTTAGACTTTGCTGACTGGGAGAATTCTCCCTTGTGAGAGGGATGAACATAAATGCCATGTTAATCACTTTGATGGTATGAACTCCCTAAAATAATATACCTGGAATTCTGAGCTTTCTCGTATCTATGTGTGAGCTTTTGTGGATACCTGCCTATTGTTTCTCCCAGATATTTTGCATCTTGATTTGTCAAGACAGTCACGTGAAACATGGGAGCAAGGGAGGCCCATGTGCAGTTCTGAAATTCTCTAGTAGACAATATAAAGAATGTGTATAACAATTGAATATGAAGAACAGGTATGAGATACCTCCTTTCAACCCATCTGGAGGACTATAATCTGGAGTGCCCTCTGAGTGGACTTCAGCTCCCACTATCTGTGACTATCGGCCATGCTGGCTGAGACTGATGGGAGGTTGAGCTGAACAACATCCACAGGGCCAGAAGTTCCCCATCCCTGCCACAGACCATGTGGGACATAATGACCAAAGAAGCAATTATGATTTCCCTCCAGCTTAAACACTTTCCAGATGATTTGAGGCCAAGAGCATGAGTGGAGGATGGCCCATGTCTTCTACAGGGGGAAAATAGACCATTCCAAGAGAGCTTCCAAGAGAAGACAGTTCTGTGGCATCCCCCTTGCAAGTGCTGCTTACGGTGGCTCTTTCTTACCCATCCATGCTGTGCATGGGGCTGCTGGCTGCAACAGGGCTTGGTGAGGCAAAGGAGTTGGAGAATGACTCATTCTTTGCAGGGGCCTCAGTGCTGTAGGCCTGTGGAGCTGGGACTGCCTGGGACTTCCCAATGGTGTTGCTTCCACCACCGCCGCCAGCTGCTGCGGAGCGGGCCACTGATTCCACGTAGCTCCGAGGTTCTAAATGGAAGTGGAGAAAGAGAAGAACAGAGGATGCCTGAGATACCTGGAGGCAGAGGACCAGGAACTCTTTTAAATTACTGTTTTCAGCACTTTTATTGCTTGGTTTAACATTTTAACCATTAAAACAAGATTTTTTAATGAAACAAACTTGAAGCAGCTTGTAGAAGTTCATAAATATAGTGAGAAGTTAACAGGACTAAAATCACTTTAGGTCTCTGGAGACCATTTGTTTAATGTGAGGGCCAGAAGTGGGGGCTTTCTTCTTTCATTCTTTCTTCCTTCCTTTATTTCTGAAAATCAGAGAATGAATGAAAAGGTCCAGAGAGGCCTTAATTGCACGATGCAGGCTGGGACTTGTTCACGCCTTTGCACACCGATGCACAAAGTGTCCCCGAGTGATCCCAAAGACCAGGTGGCACACAGAGCCTGACCTGGTGACCTGCATGATCCCATCCATGCCAATGCAGAGCACCAAGGTTTTGGGTGTGAGCGCGGTGGCCTGTGGAAGTGCAGCCGCAACATCAATCACCTTGCCGGGTAAGGCTGCTGCGGAACAGATCAGGATACCTAGGCGGACCAGCTGACATGTTTGTCTGTCCAAACGATTGCAAGCTAGATCGGGACTGCTGACTGAGAGGTAATACATGCAGAATCTTTCGACATGTCTCCTGTCCCAGTGCAAACTGCAGTTATCTCCGACAGAAGTCTGGACTGCAGATTCAGCTTTTCTCCCTGCCTTCCATGACCACCTTCCTTGAAGGCAAACCTGCAGCCTTTCCAGGGAACTTGTTGTACTGCCCAGTTAATTGCGGGGTGGGCATAAATAACCCTGGAATTTCAATCTCTCTCCATACCATTTTGGAGCATTTCTTCTTCTTCTGTCCATAGTAACCACAAATAACTTTTTTTCATTCTATACAACAGTTTTTAAGACAACGTATTTGTGCATAGTAATCTATTCCCTTGGGCCACTTTTGTTTCTCATGACTGATAATTCAATATTTCTTCGGCCATTTCCCTCTGTTGTGTTCCAACCCTTTAGCAACTCTGTCACTTTTCTCTTAAGCATGCAGCTTACAAGAGGGACTTCAGTATGTCTTTCCAATATTCTATGGGAGGTAGAAAATGTGAGCAAGTTTCTCTTACAAACCACATGAAACTCCTGTGAGAACTTTACTGGTTTGGATGCACTTGCTGGGCTCCTCTTCCTCCTGGGCTTCTCGTGGAATAACAAAGCCTCTGAAATCCACTTGCTCCTTGTAAGGTTGGGTGGTTCTCCAGATGCTTTGTCCTAAAGCTGCCTTTACCCCTAGCGGCACAGTTAATGGCAGTGGGTCATGGATGCTGCAGGCTAAAAGATCTGGAGGACCACAAGTCACCTACTCTGCCTAAGATCCCACCACTATCCCTACTCCTGCTCCCTTTCAGCAGCTGCCTGCAGGACCACTGCCAAAGCCTCGACACCCTCTTCATGCAGTGCCCATCCACATGATGCTTCTAACAAAGCAGGGTCCATGCCCCACCCCACGCTTCGGCACAGAACGTGTTTCCATGCAATGTTTGGACGCAGAGAGGTGATGCCCACCTCACTGACTTGCCTATGGCACTCCCTTCCTGTAGTACATTTTCTGTCAAGTTATGAAAATCCAGACTGAAGCCTGTTAAAATATGCCAGGCTGCCTATGAGACTGGTTTTAGATGCAAGCTGGAATGTCTAAAGGGGGTGGGGTTCAGAGAACATTTTTGTAATTAATTTTCCAGCCTCCTCTGAGAAAAAGAGCCATTTTGTTAAATATGTTCTACCATTTCCTTGTGGCAGCTGTTATGCTGCCCTCTGCCCTGCCACATTGTCATTGACCCCCTGTGGCCAACGCTGCCCGAAGAGCCCCCCTGTGGACAAAGATGGGTGAAAGGGGACTCCCAACACCACTGCCCAAAAATAGGGTGGAGAATTTTGGAAGGCCGTTTTCATTCCGCTCTACTTGAGCTATGGGGTTTTGCTATTTGGCAGTGTGCACACCTTCAAATGTTGTTGAACTGCAGTTCCCATCATCTCTCGTCACTGGCTAGGCTGCCTAGGACTATGGGACAGTATGGGAGTTGGAGTCCAACAGCATCAAGGGGGCTCCACTGTATTCTCCACCAACGCTACTAAGTATCAGTACATTCCCAGACTTTTTTCCCTTCCTGGGACTAACACCTCACAATTCCTCACTAAACTTTTACTTTTACCACAGGCTACTCTTGGCTTCTCTCTTTTCTTCATAACCAATACCCTAAAATGGATGTACAACTGCATAATATCTGAATGTATTTTAAGATGTCCTCAGATGCATTGGAGAGACAACTAGGAGAAGTGTTCAACTAGTCCCATATTGAGGCTGGGTGGATGAGGTAATCCACTAAGAAATCATCTTCTGAGTCCTGCAGCTGGGGGGGAATTGTGTGTTAACAGCACTTTGGGAATACTTTCAACACTTCTAAGCTGGAAACCAGTAAACCACTGAGTCAGTTTTATGAAGGACAAGTATTATTTCTAAATGGCCAGGACCAATCTGGTGGCCAAGCCCTATCCTGTTATGTCCAAAGTTGTTTCCTGCCAATCAACCGAGCCCATCAAGGCAGGAGGGGAAAGAAGGAATGGAATGGAAAGGCATGGTGGGAAGATCTGGAAGGTGGATCTGCCCTCTTCATACTGAACATTCCAGGAGGCAAAGTCTCGCCCAAATGCTCTCAGCCAAACCAAGGGAAGGCATGGGCATTTGCCTGTCTTGGTGCTAGGCTGAAGTGCAACTTCAAAAGCCTTGCAAAATGCATAATAAGCCATTATGCTACTTAAAGTAATTACATCTGTTACAGCTACACATTTCCCCTGCCCCTCCCTGGCTAAAAATAGCATGTACTATATCTGTGAGTTAGCTTGTAAGAAGCTAATGAGAAACTGTCAGGAAAGTCAAAAACTTCTGGTAAACGAGAAAGGGAAAGCTCTCTTTATTCCAACAGCAGAAATTAAACTGGAAGAACAGTAAGGCTGATGCAGCCAACTTCCTTCTTTTCTTCCTCATGTACAGAAATGAAGGGTGAGCAGCTAAATAGTTAAGATAATTTTTCTGCTGCATAATTTACTTTACATTCTGCTTGCCCAGACTCCATGCAGGCCTATGCATGTGCTGAACTCTACACCCCAGCTGTGTGCAAATTATCTGAGCAATATTGAAAAATTAGCATTAGCAAACCATTTATAAAGGCTAAATGGAAGAGAGAATGAATGCCTGGAGCCCACGGAAGAATCACTGGGCAACATTCCAAGTCCTGTGCCATATCAAAAGATATCTAAAAATACCCACTCTGTATTTATGTTTAGCAAACAAATGGTTTGCTGTGTGGAAGAGAGTAACAGAGAGAGAGAGAGAGAGAGAGAGAGAGAGAGAGAGAGAGAGAGAGAGAGAGAGAGAGAGAGAGAGAGAGAGAGAGAGAGAGACTTCTGTGGGATTCGGTAACATCAAATAACCATATTAAACTTATAAGCTAGATAGTCCTTAAGCCCCCATTTCCATATCCTTCCAGCTGTAAACCACACACACATATATATCTTTTGTCCCAAGATCTTGCTTTCAAATATTAACTATATTGAAAATACACTGCATACTAGAATAGTTGCTGGTTCTATATTACAAGAGTTCCAATGCCAAAAGAAAGAATGATAGACTAAAAAACACGGGAATTCGTTCTTTTTGCCTTGCCTCAATTAACACAGACTTATGGCAGGAGGCATCCGTAATGACTAGCCATAGTTTAGATGTAATGCTTCCAAACTGAACTTTTAACCACAGTTTAAAAAGAAATGAAATGCAGGCTTCTGTGCTCCCTTCTCCCTCCCATGCAAATCTGTGCCTCCATTCCCTTGTTGGTTAACTATGATGTAGTGTTACACCTACACTGGTGCTAACTAGGCTTAGTCAGAATCAATAAGAGTTTGCACTGGGTTAACCCTAGATAACCCAAGAAAGAAAGGGGGAAAGAGCCCTGATGGACAAAGTTGGGCCTAAGCCTTTTTCTTAAATTTTGTTGCAAGTTGACATTCCAGAATTAGAATGAGTTGAAACATCCTGTCCAAAGAATGTTTAGGATTCCACTTGGGTTTGTTTGTGATATCTAAAAGTTCAGCAGCCTTCCAATAGTCTAAGCTCCATACCAGCTGGGTTGTGTCCGAAACAGCATCTTAAACTAGTGAACTCTCCCCTTGGCTTTCTGCTTATTTTCATTCCCTTAAGGTCAGCAGTAGCACAGAACTTGGGAAATATAAGGAATGCAGACCCTCTGCACAGTTATGAAGCCACACCTAACTGCATATTCTCCTGTAAGACAACAAATGCCTTGAGGCTGAAAAATGCATGTAGCTGAATTGTAACCTGCTGTCCTTTAATCTGTTTTTCTTACAAAATGAAACTTCCCAAGACCCATGGTGTGTGTGGGCGAGGGCAGTGGGGAGAGGCTTTTTATCAGTTTCCATTCCAATGCTGCCGTGGTTTGGGGGAAAGCAGTTGGGGGAGAAACTCAGCAGAAAAACCTACCAAAGATGAAATAGTTAAAAGCCCCTTTCCTATCATTGTGGACCTAAGATTGCAGCATTCACAAGTGCATTTAGTAATGCACATACATACACATACAAACATGCATGCATACATGTTGGAGAAAAGCATATAGGACTGAATGTCAGATATACTTTGGCTCTTACCTTGTTAAGGTGACACAAAAAGGGAAAGACACAGTTAAAAAATGATGCCCCTGAAACCCCATACATGACATGCCTGCGTAGTCAGAAACCCACGAGCTCCATGCAGGCCTTTGTTTGTTTGTTTGTTTGAAAAACCTTTACATACCGTCCCATCACAGACATCTCAGGATGGTTTACAACAACATTAATAAAATAGAATAAAAATAGAAGTAAGAGTAGCACAGCATCCGATGTTAGGTATAAAACCATAAATTAAAACAAATTAGCAATTAAAATACTGGGTGAATAAAAAGGTGGCATGCACAGAAGCCATGCCCTCAGCTTCCCCATCCTCTCCATCCCTAATCCTCTTGCGTTGAGAAGGAAGGTCTGAAGGGAGCTTCTATTCAAATTTGCTTCAATGTAAATAGAAGGCTATTGTGTTGTCGGGAACCCGCTTGAACAAGCAAATGCCAATAGAACCCCACAGGGGACCTCCCTGCTACCTGGACAAAGATGTCCAGCTGGATTGAGAGATGCACCGGTACCCTCCCACCTGGAATACTGCAGTGCATTGGGCTGCCTCTGAAGGCAGGTCAGAAACTACATTTAATGCAACAGAGAGCAGCAAGGCTGATTATTGGGATGTACTGAATCAACCACTCTGATTTCTGGACTCAAATCAACATTTTAAATGGCTTAGGGGCAGTTTACCCAAAGAGGTGCCTTCTCTGATATATTCTTGTCCAGTTGTTTGGGTCAGTTCCAGTGGCTCTTCCCTGTGCACTGTGACCCACAGTAGCGCAATGAGTGGCTATGAGGGTAAGAGCCTTCCCGGTGTGCCCCCCTGCCTGTGAAATACCCTACCCAGGAAGACCTGCCATCATCTTCACGGCACATTTATACATTTCACTTTTCCAACATGTATTTAGTCTTTAACCAATTGCTCCGATTATGAACTTTACCACAGGTCTTTAACATTTGTCATATTTTAATATTTTGTGTTGATATTTTTGTGGCTGGATTTTTTAATTGCTATTTCATTGCTGTTGTGGAATGTGGGGTGAGAAATACTGTAAACTGCTTTGGGACTATTTGCAATTTGCATAGTATATAAGTCAAATAAACACTGTGTTCAGCTTTAACTTCCAACATCCAGTACATCTGGAAGGAGCCAGGTTAGGAGAGGCTGTTCCAGAGACAGTGATGCTAGATAAATGATACTGGGAAACTCTAGATGCTACAATCTTCAAAAATTCCACTCATGCTCTGGGAATTACATATTAAGGGAACAAAAAATCCAGACTGGTAGAAACAAAGATGTTTTCCCAGCAAATTTATTTATTTATTTATTTATTTTTCAATTTATATCCTGCCTTTTTCCTACAAAGGGCTCAAGGCAGCTTACATCATTCTCCTCCTCCATCTTATCCCCACAACAACAACCCTGTGAGGTAGGTTGGGCTGAGAGTCTGTGACTGGCCCAAAGTCACCCAGTTGGCTCCATGGCTGAGCGGGGACTCGAACCCGGATTGTCTGAGTCCCGATCCCATGCTCTTAAGAAAATCTGCCTCTTCAGGATGCTTGAAGAGGCTAAAAGTATTTACTTCCCTGCCAATTACTCTTCTAATAATTATTTACTCAGTGATTGAGTCCAGCATACAGCAACTCTTGACCTTCTATAGTGCAGTTAAAACCTTATGAGGGAAATAATGCTTCCTTTAATCCTTTGGCCACACATGGCAAGCTGGGCAGGTGTCTTGGCAACATGCCCTAACCATGGCCCACTGTCACACAGTTGCCCAAAATAAATAAACAAACAAACCAGATTCCCTCCTTACCTTCATCAGATTCAACTAATGTCTCCCCATCAAGTTCTGAGGGGCAAGTGAGGAAGAGTGAAGTGTTTAGGGAAATAAAAATGGAATGTGACAAGGAAAGTGAAATGGGAGAAGAAAGAAGAAAAGAGAGAGAGATTCAGATTAATAAGATTTAGCAGACAAAGCCTGGTAGGACCCACAGTATGCAAAAAAGGCCGACAACTCCCAGCATGCCCCAATCGGCCATTCCAGAAGAACACACATTGTCTAAGCACACATAGGCTTACACCGTACGCTAACGAAGGTGTCTAGCAAGACCGAAGAAACACATCATCTTTTTTTAATGCTATTTATAATGGTCTTTCATGGAATTAAGTACTCTCTATGGAAACAGTAGCTGACTATTCTCATCAAGATGGGATAATCTTGAGAACGTTATTTCAGGCCACTTGAGGCTTGGTTTGTATCTTTTCTAATGAGCCTCACCTAGGACTGGGGGGGGCAGCTTCATGTGAATGAAATAAACTCAAGCATTTATGTAAACCTCCACAAAGATTAACAGCAGCCTGTGCAAATACTGTTTAGGCTAAAAATAGTCACTACTGGTGCTGATTTGTTCCTTTCAACGACTAAATTTTAACTCATACCTCCTAGTTTGCTTTTTTAAACTTCTATTTATTATTTTATCCTTGGGGAACCTCCTATCAGTTTACATGAAGCCCCTAGGCAGCTTTCATAGCTGGACACTAAGCAGACTAAAACCTGCTTCATTTTGCTATAAAGTAAAAAAAAAAGTAACCCAAGGGCTCATTTTTAGCTCTTGCTCTGGTCAGATGAACCAATCGCAGTGCTGCTAGAACCCAGTGACTATGGAACCCAGTAGCTATTGAGTGTTCTAATGCTGGTGCAATGTGGTGACTAAGGGGCTGAGATACCAAGGCACGGACTATAGCTGGAATCTCATCTCTGCCACAGTCTCATTGGGTGGCCCTAGACTAAGGGCCCTAGACACCGACACCAACACACACACCCAAGCCAGAAACACAGCCTGGGGTTTCCCCTGCTACCACAAGCTCCAGCAAGGGAATCACTTGCTCATCTCTGGTCTCTCACTAGAGGAGAATTAAGAGGAGCTCCCTCATCAGGGCTAGCACACGGAAATCCCAGGAAACGTCTTGGCAGGCTGCACGTGGCCTGTGAGCAACACGTGTAGCATCCCCACCTCTGGCAAACCACCCTCCCTCGGTCCCATCCTCTCCCCATCTGTGGCATATGAGATAGTCACACTGAGCTCCTCACAGAGTTGTACGATTGATTGCAACTGGAAGCATCGTGCACTTGAATGTGCCATACAACTGTGACATTTTTCATTTATGCTTTCACGATGTCTAGCCAGGAGGAGCTTCAGGATTGCATCTGCTTGCCCTGCCCTTGCCCCTACCCAAGTCCCATTTGGGCATGACCCTGCAGAGGTGCCCCAGAACAAATGCAGACTCCTTACCAAAGATCCCTGCTCTCCGGTTTTGCAGTTTTGTGTGGGGAATGCACACAACTACAGTGCAAACCCCTCCGCAAGTGGTGGCCGTGGTGGGTCCAGCACTTCTAGTTTTCATTATTCCCAGGATGTATCAGGACTGATGCTGCTATGGAGAGCTGGTGCGGCGTGGTGCTTAGAGACCTGGAGTGAGAACCTGGGAGATCCAGGTTCTACTCCCTACTCAGGCACAAAGCTCACTGGGGCAAGCACCCATTCTCAGCCTAACCTACCTCACAGGGCTACTGTGGGTATAAAAAGGCAGCAGGTCAGCCGCCTTGGTTTCTTCAAGAGAAGAAAAGAAGGGGAGGTTATAATTGCAAGGTAGTAATACTAATACTTTCTGAACAGTTTTGGAGGGTTTTTTGTTCACAGTTTTCTCATGCAAATGCTGCAGATTGTTCGGATAAGTAAGCTAAGTATTGATACCACTAAGCTGCTCCATTTGAAAACCATGTTGCAGCAACTCAGTTCATGTGCACATCATGCTTGGCACGTGTACCTACAGGTCATCTGAGATGAGAACGTAATCAGGAGCAGGGTGAAAGAAAACAGTTGTACTGCTCTGCCTTGAAAATGCCAGCCAAGGCTTTGGTTGGGTTTGCTCTTACACTCCTCAAACAAAGCCAACTGAATGAATGCCTGTGCAGAAACGGTTGTTATTGTTGTTGCTGTTGTTCTTACTGATTTCATTTCTGATTTTCCCAGTGGTCAAAGCTCTCCAGGCAGTTAACAGTAATTCATAGAATACAAAAAAACAGATACAAATATAATAAAATGGCATAAGGTTTCAGTACAAGATTTAACTAGAATTTGAAACACTCTGAACAACTAAAACAAGTTGTTTGAATAACAGACCTGCTAGCAATAACTAACTTGGACTGGTTCCATTTTCGGTTGGGGTTTGGTGCAGCTGTGGGGACAGGCTTGGTCAGCCGAGGAGCCTAATTGGGATTCGCACCTTTGAGTGGTTGGTCTTTTCGCATTCAAGAGCTGGTGCAGCTCACTGGCCAGGGAAGGAATCCTGTGGCTGCTAGTGCGGTCTAGATGGCAACAGAACAGCTTAGGGTTCCAGCTCTGACCCCAGAAATGTGCTCCAAGGCAGAGCTGGGATCCTTCAGTGCTGAAGCAGCCTCCCCCAGCCCCTGCAACAGGTGCAGTTCTTTCCATGTGGGCTGGCCCTACGAGGTCGTAAGCCTGAGCGCTGAGCTAGCCAGAAGGGAGCGTTCCAGGGGCCCCGTGGGGAGCGGAGGGTGAGACGCCGCAGGGACACAACAGGACGACTGCCTCAGCCCCTCCTCAAGAGCAGAGACAAACGAGAGGGCAATCCTTGCCTCCATGTGCCTCCCTTGCTCAACCGGAGGCCCATAATCTCCTGGCTTCTGGGTAGTCCTGAGAGCCTGGGCTACAAAGAAAGACATTTCTGGCTGGATACTACCCCCACCACCAACTCAGTCACTCTTGCACCCCTCCCTGCACCCCACAGTTGCAATCCACTGGTGCCAGTCTACTCGGCAGAGTTGTTGTACAACCAGCTAGTATCTTTGAACTGCCAACTTTCACGCGGCTGTCTAAAGGTTTATACTAGAGCATAGCTATAAAACTGTGTTTGCAGCTAATGTTTCTGGCTCTCCAGACATGCAGAGGTTTTACCTACTTACTTACTTAATTTCCATACTACCCAATACCTGATGCTCTCTAGTTTACAACAACAGGTTGGTCAGAAGCTTTTTATGCTACCATAGCATGAGCTTGAGATGTCATTCCCGTGCTGAATTAGAATTGTTCTGGTTAGTCACCAGACTGCAAATGCCTAAGAAATTAAATGCAGCAGAACATTACAAAGCGGATGGGGGATGGGTCTTGGTGTGTATAATCTGGAACCCATCTGGAGCAGTCTGAGGCAGCCAATCTGCAACTAGGGTCAGTCAGCTTGGGGTCAAGGGCTTGCACACACAGAAACTTTGCAGAGAAATGCAAGGAATCATTTAAATATCTGTCGGGTTAAAGTTTCCTAAGCACTGGCCCTCTCAAAACAGTCTGGCTGTAAGAGCAGAACAATATCTAAAGTAGGAGAGAAATGAAATCTTTACAGGGATGGATAAGAACACAGACATACAAAAATCCAGGCATCATTTTCATTTCTCTTCTCTTGCAGGTTAAGTTCACTGAAATATCGGAATTTGATTTAGAGGGAGAGGCAGAAAAAATGATTCAGGAAACAAAATCAAGGCACCACACTGGTTTTCCAGCTATTAATATAATTGCGACCTACTGGATGTTGACAAATCATAGAATTCTGGCCTCTAGGGTCAAGTATGGCCCTCCCTTTGACCACTCAAGAAAGAGTGGAGCAGTACATGGAGCTAAATGGGTTTAAAAGGAGCATAAAACCTTCTGCCATTTGGTCCAAGTCTTTGCTTCACTACTATGTTTTGCTGTACCTTCTCCAACACGTGTTGCAACTACACAACTTTAACTTCTTTAAAGTCACACCCAATGAAGTGTTTACTATGCGTCTAAGCTTGTATCCTCAGCTATAGTAACTGAACATTATGGTTTCTTTTAAAATTAAATATATGTGCTTGATCCTATAAGGGAAAGTCATATGGAAAAGACTGATTTTCAACCCTTATCACATCCTCATTGCAATCCCTGTTGGTGCCCCACTGAGTGAGGCTGTGTGTTGATTTCAAGGTACATGGGAATGTCCTTCCCCATCAAAACTGCCTGTTATTATGTTCTGCAAATTGCCATTTCCTGGAATTGCATCAGAGTGATAGAAGATCCATACTTGATGGCAAAATTCAAGTTGTGGTGCCAGACATTTAGCTTCATTCCAAGATGGAAGTTAAATCTTCAAAATTTGAATCTTATGGCTGAGATTTGTATTCTACAACATGTTGGAATGCAAGGTATGTAATCTGAACATTCAGATCTGGCTTTTATTTTTCAAATATCCTTGAACTCTACAGTTAGCTTTTTTCTCTCCCTCCCACCTGTGATTTGAAAACATGATTTAAGATGAACAGCTTGTTATACAGCTGACATTTAAACACAAAATTGACAAGCACAGAACTGAAGAAGGCAAACACCTTCTTTGCCTGCTCAAACATCTCAGTGGCCAAAGTGAGATGCACATGCGGGATGGTCAAATGGTGTCCTGCCATCTCTTACCTCCTGTCTGCTGCAGCAAGATCTCAGCTGGGTTGTGAGGTTTAAGGCCCAGTGCAGAAAGAGGAGTCTTGGCCAATCCTGGTGGAGAGCGCACTGTTGACAAGAGGATATGCACAAAAAAATTTAAGGAAACACAACATTTAAAAAAGAATTACATTTAAGGAGTAATATATCCAGGCATGTCCTGGTTTGTTGCTAAAGATCAGTTTTTAGCCAAAGCTAAACATGGCTGTAAGCGAATCCTGGCTATCTACGTGCGCATCTGGAACTGCTCAGAGCAGCTGGCCTGATGAAACCACAGGAATGCGGCTTCTGAAAGTAGGGGCCTCTGTCTCTCCCTGTCTCTAAGTGACACCTCTGGCTATGCAACAACTTTTCTTTCGTGGAGAAGAGATCAAGCCAGCCTCTCATGACATATACACGAAAGGGGAAGAATCCAAACATTGCTGAAGAGCATAGAACCCCACAGTTCAGCAGAGTGTGATTTCTTAGGGCAACTGGGATAGCGGCCCAGCACAAGGGAAGGCCAAGACACTGTCTTGCTGGAACCAAGATTTATGGATGGCATGGTTTCATCCATGCTTGGCATGTTCTGCTATCAAAGGCAGTTTGTACAGGCATGTGTGTAGCTGAGAGGGCCTTCTACCGTCCTCTCAAAATCAAATCAAAACAACACACCTGCTGGAGCTCCAATAACCGTACAGAGAGATTACCCCTTCTCCTGGGCTGGCACCAATCTTTTATCCTCAGTGGAACTGCTGAGAGATGGCTCATACTCCCTCCTCCCCTGCTATTAATGTGCCTAGCACTGACTAACCTATGTGGCAGCAAGGCTATTAAAAAGTGCACGTATGTGGAGGGTAGGTTAGAAACTTGTATGGAGTTAGGTGATCCATACCAACAATGTTTCCAGCAGGACATAGCCTGTCCCCAATCAAAATAGACCATATCCCCAGTTCCTAATGGTTTCACGTCATTTATACCTTCAGGTTTAGCCTGACAACTAACATATAAAATTTGTTCTGATGGCAATGGTGTAACTGAAAAGGTCAATTCAGCCTCCATATTTAACCTGTGAAACTCTCAGTACCAAAAATGTCCTAAATTGCACTGGCATGGCATTAAATGCTTAAGGTTCATAGCACGATTAAAGCTCCCTTCCTGAGGATTGCATCTAACTGCACATGACTGACATATGATCTTCCTACCTTTTATTCTTCCTGGAAGAGCACCTCTTGGGAAAATATCAATAAAACAGATGCATCCACATTTCTATCCCCCTCCTCTGTAAGCACTGGAAAATGTTTCATTACATTTTAACTGTAATGCAAGAACTGCAAAGCTTTTGGACTAGGTATAAATTTAAACAAAATCCAATATTTTGCAGCTTCCAGTTTCTTCTGGAAGAAGCACAACAAAAAGAGTAATATTCTTGGTAGCACAGTGTTCCCTCCCATTACCAGTATGTTTGAAAAATGACCATGAACAATCAAATGACATCATCCTCTGTCACAGGTTTTTCACAGGGTGAATGTGTTATCTGCAAAGATCATAATCATGAAATTTTAAAAAAAGAATCCAAATCCCACAGCAGACATTGTATATTCTACTAAGCATATATCTTCTACAGAGATGTGGATGTCTATGTTTATGGCATGTACATCCAAGTATATACAAAATTGTGTCAACATACATAGGAGAGTTATATGTATGTATACTTAATATATACACAGCAGGAAGCAATGGAGCAAACAGATGCAGATGCATATGTGGGATGTGTTTGAAACAGCAAGTCTCACAAAACCTCTTTCTAACGTGAGTTTTTTTCTCATTCAGTCCACTGGTATCTTTGTTATGGACAGCTAAACTTCACCAGCTCCAGACAATTCAGGCTTTCCAACTTGAAGCTCAACTTCTTGCCCTAAGGATTTGTGGGCGTACACAGACAAAGAAAGTACTATTGTCCATCGGGGGGGGGGGGGGTTCAACACATTCTCCATGACTTACATTGCAACCCTCTGACTTACGGCTTCAGATGGGCACCCACGCTGGGTCCACAGCAGGAGGAGGGAGGGGGAGAGGAAGGGAGGTGTGTTCAAGGAAAGCCAGTTACCAAGAGTTCATATTTCATCATGGATCAGCTTGGCTGGTTAGGTGGAGCCCTGCTCAGGGCCAAGGAGTGATTGGGAAACATGTGATTCCACTGGCAGCCGTTCCATGTCCAGAACATTATGATCACTGGGCAGGCTGAAGGGTAGAGGCAGCTCTGAGCTTTCCTCCTTAAACTGCATCAGCTTTGCAAGGCTTCACGCTCCATATCCAGTTGCTCGCAAAGGTAACAGACACCAATACAGAGCTGGCGTGCACTTGCTGGATAGGGGAAGCGAAAGGGTCACGTGCTGAACTCCAGAGCTGCCCTCAGCCTGCTGCTTTAAGAATGGGCAACAAGCACAGGCTGCTGAAGGCTTTTGAGGCAGCCTCATTCGAGTCCAAGGGAACAAGAATGAGTGCCCATCTCACCTATCATAGATCAAGTCTCCACATAGACAGTCAGGGTTAGTCACAAAGCATAATGCAGACTGCAATCTGGCACACTCTTAGTTGGGACAAAGTCTTCCTGAATTCAGTAGCAACAGCTTGTGAGTATGGCAAGGGCTGAACTGCCCACCCATCTGGCCTCATGGCCTGCTTGATTTCAGGGAGCAGGAGGACCCAGCTCCTGACATCATGAGGTCCTCAGCAGAAGCACTGACCAGAGAGAGATCTTCCAGATGGCACTTTGGCTGAGGAACTGCTTTTGCTTTGTCCTGTCCTACCCTAATGAAAGAAAGGCAAAGGACAAGCGATGCACATTTGACCAGTGCTGGCAAGAGCTCCTGGCTTCATTCCTGCTTTTCATTTGCTGCACAGGGAACAAGAAGCAAAAGTTTAGTACTCTGTTTGTATTAGTGGAAATTCCAACAAGCCCAAGACTGAACGCACAGCCGGCTTCACTCCCGCATCTCCCACATGGGAGAAGGAGGAGCAGGCAGAGGAATCCTCTTGTTATATCCAATTTGCGATGAGGATTCCTCTTTCTGTCTCCTCCCCAAGCCCTTGGTGGCCTGCATTCCAGGAGATGGAGCCTGGGGAAGGTGGTAAGCAAA